ATGAGATCAACTGATCGCTTTCGTGACTTTCAGCAACCAGGCGAATCGGACCCTACGTTTGAAAACGCAGCTCTGGCACAGTTAAGCCTACGCAAACACGCGTCTAGGGTATTACGATGGGCAATGCGGTCTCGTACGAGAGGTGGAGGGATGGGAGGGGGATGCCTCTTAGCTTGGTTTTGAGTCGCAAGACCGGTTGCTTCTCACTCGCTAGGCTGGTGTCTTTTCACTCGCCAAACCGCAAAACGTATCTGCCGCTGGGGAGTGAACGAGTGGGAATTTTACAGGCCTTCATTTTATCCTGATTTAATTTTCGTAGGAGAAGGCGTCGGCACTTTATATTGCTGATTTCACGAGAGCAAAGAAAGGAAGAGTGTTTCTTTTGACATTTTGGAGAGTTAAAAGAAAGAACACAAGCTCGATTTCCATGTAGGAAATCTAGCTCTATAAAGGAAATCTGGCCACGCGTGCCTCTTTTAAACTGCTCAGACCAAGTATGTACGGATTTGCAGAGACCGACGCCCTTGCTCTGCATGAGAGATTTTCGTAGGAGGAAGGAGAGAGGGTATTTCTTTACTGGGAGTAGAAAAGAAATGGCGATAAAAGTTAAAGACAGTGGGTCAGACAGAAAGTCACGACAGAGCTGGAGGGGATGGATTCCGCAATTGTCCGGGTTATTCACGTGAAATACCTCGATAAAAAGCGTGCCTGTATTCTATTGAGAAAGGAGAGTCGGATGAAGCGAACACCTCCATAAAGCGAAGAGACATGCCATACGATGGGACAGACTCTAGTTTTATTTGGCCGGTTGGCTGCAGTGGCAGCAAAAAGAGATTGTACAGTAGATGAATGTTCCCAGGGCACAGACAGCAGACTTTGCAATGTTTCGAACGTGAGCATCCCAAGTGAGTCGACTATCGAGAGTGGAATGTGGAGGGAATGGGGATGAAGGAATGTGGGGGAAATGTGAAAAAAAAGCGAGAAAAGCACACCTCCGGGGGAAACGATTTCAAATCGTTCCAAGGAAACAGCGGCTAAATAGTCCAAGGTTGATCTGAGGGCGAAAGCCATATTGCCGTGTCTACGATCCAGGCTTTTCTTATACTCTTAGACTTCTAAATGGAGATTTATAGGGGATTCAAAGACCTCACCACTCTGCGGGATGAGAATACCATTAGCTTACAGGACCGGAATGTAAGGTTTCTGCCCTCTTGTGGTTCATTTCACAGGCTGCCTCCACTCTATTGGAGAACGAGAGGTAAGACTCTCCTGCAGATCGGCTTCATGCGGCCACGGCTGCACGTTCCGCTCCGTCGTCTGCATCGGCACCTGTTGGTCCTCCAAATTTTGAAACAATTTCTCAGTTTTTGTTTGGCTCGCCTGCGAGCTGCTGTCATGAGAATTGAAGCCACCTTGGCTCGTTTCAAAACGACAGTTCTGTTCTAGTTTCAGACTTCGGTCAGATCAAAGTTCCACAGTGCTTTTATCACAAAGGAATCCCAATTGGAACTGCAACTGAACTAAAACTGGAGCCGAACTGCTACCGAACTTCGACTGGAATGCAGTTTTGAAATCGGCCCTTGGATCACGACCTCTGGGGTTAGAAGAGTGAAACGGTTTTCAAAGTGTCGAGATGGTCGAAGAGGTCGTCAGGGTATGGACTCAAGAAGTTATCCAGGTACTCCAGGTTATCGATTTGGAAGGAAGTGCGATTCCGATCTAATGACTTTCGATTCGTGGATGGAAAAATCCCGGAGAGCAGAGAGTAGGGGGTGGTATCCGAATTGTAAAGAAGAACACATTGTACAGGGTGTTCATAAGTTTATCCAAATGTGTTACTTCCGTCTAGTAGACGATGTTTTTCCACATCCTCACGAAAAAGTCGAGAGAGAGATTATGTCTGGTGGCCATGGTCGGTCCTTTCTTCTTTGTAGCACAAAGAAAGAAGAGACGGGCCGATCCCATTGTCTGCTTCCTCGTATAGCACACTCCCAGTTTCTCGAAACTCCTTACGCCACCTTCTAATTGAATCATCAGGAGATTCTGTTTGAAAAACTTGTCTAAGTTTGCGTCGAACGAGAACCACCGATTACGATTCCGCAAACCACAAAACGCATTGAGGTTTTTGTTCCACGGCAGCCATGACTCGATCGGCTGACGCAACTAATTATCCTTCTCTCAATCTCCCTCTCTCTTCCTCTGCCTCAGTAGCGCATGCGCCAAACGTACACGTAAAAAACTTAAAAAGTGTCAAGCTACCGCCTCCTGTAAACCCGGTCAATTTATTCCAAGTAGTTTTCAATATATACATTTTTCAAATCAGATAATTTCTGAACACCTTATTGGGTGCACCGATCCTTCTGAAGCAACCGATGAGATGGCTCGTGAGAAAATCTGAATAGGAATATGTAAAGTTAGTTTCAAACGTGAAGAGAATATCGTGTTTGGTGGATCTCTGGAGTTGCAAGTTCGTAACAAAAGAAACTGAAGGAATAAAGATGTCTGTGACTCCGGTCCAACCGGTGAACGAAGTAAACAGCTAACGTCTGTCAGTTAACGACAGTATGAACGTGATGAAACTGGGAAAAGGTCTGTTGAAGGAGGCGGCATTCTACTCGGTTTACGGAGATAAGCATGAAAAAGGTGCCACCATTTCTGAGGCCAACGTTGGATCAAGAGCTCCACATTAGAACGTGACATCACTAGATCATATTGATATTGCCAGATCAAAGAATACGGTGTTGCGAAACTCAACTACCCCAATATAACATAACATGGAATCAACATAGAATAAGCACTGAATCAACATCCGGAGGTTGAATCAGCATTCAATCAGTGTTGATTCAATATTTTGGTAGATGGATTGGACGATAAGCCGGATCGGTGTGCTCCAAACTTCTTGCTTTCCTTTTCCGAAGTTATGAACATTTCGATTGTTATGTATTATTCAACGTCATTCCTTGGAGCGGAAAAACTAGTTTTAAGTATGTACATACGAAGGAAAGCAGGCGAACCAATAGCAATGAATTCGAGGAAACCAATCAAAATGGTATAGCCGATAATTTCAAATATACCAAGCATATACATGGAAAAATGGTCGGGGTCAGAGGGAAGGCAGTGCCAGTTCTACCCTCAAGTCCACCTTCTGCTCCCCACTTTTATTATATAATCTTTTTTTTTTTAGCCTTTTTATTTTTTGGAGAGAAGGAACCAAGCGACTTATCATGTTCACCCATGCATAGCTCTTTCTCGTGCCCTTTTACCCACCTGATTATAGCCATGACGTCGATGAACGAGAGAAAGCGCAAAAGGTGGATTAAGAACATCCCTTTCTCCTCTTTTCTATTTATTTTAATTTTTTTTTTTAATGGAATGGATTCTACATATGGAATCAAGCAAAATTTACTGAAAGTCATGGCTTACCAAATGCGGAAGAAAGAGTGCATAGCAAGTTATTAGAACATGATAACTTTGTGAGAGGAGCTAATAAACTCGTCTAACCTAGAGACCAATCTGGATCCATTATCAACTCTTCCAATTATTATTTTTGGGACTTTAAATTTCAAATTCTTTCTGAAATTGAAATACTAAAACTTTTACTCAAGATTGAAAAATTGAGTTCTACATATCGGATTTGAAATTCTGAACAACACTTTTTGATTCTGAAGAATTAAAGATCTGACCACTCTGACTGAAAGGGTCAAGCGATTGTGGTCGATAGTGTTTCTGTCTTTGGGCTTACTTTTGCCTTTCCCTTGCAAAACGTATGGGAGCACATCTCGGGGGCATTTCCTCTAGAAAATTATAGATATTTCGAATTTACTCCTCTCTCATATCAGACAGTAGCGATGATCTGTTTACTGCTAAATCCCACCCTGCGATGGAACTAGCTTCCTTAAATTTGGATCACTTGACAACGACTTATGTGACAGAACTCGATACAATGTATCCAACAATGAGGGGGAGAAAGGTACTCTGACCCCATCTTGGATTCTTTGAGTACTGCGAGTGCTTAAGTGACTGATGAGAATGTAGCAGTGTGTACATCAGGGTATCAAGTTTTGTAGTGGAAAATAAAAAATATATTAAAAAGTTATTGATCACTCACGATATGGGCCCATGCAACTTCGTGCATCTGCGTAGGGCTCAATCTCTTCGGGGTAGGGTAAATGAAGGGGACTTCCAATATTGCTAGGATATCCGAGCTTTCCTTTGTAAATGCTCCTATGAGTGGGTTTTGCTTCCATGTGGCAATTTTTTTAGTGAATTTTTTTCAGCTATGAAGCATAAGCGATCAAAAGTTCGAAATAGAAAGGGGAAGAAGAGACACTCCTACACATTTGGTACTCCTTACAGCTAGGTTCATGCTTAATGTGCCTTGCTCCCAACCATCATGCTCCACTTCACGTTGGTGATGTGGATACCATACCATACTAAATACTTTGCAGTTCTGTCATCACTCTGCCAGGAGTGATAAATACTAAGTATTGTAGAGAGGTAGAAGTGGAGAAGTAAATACAAAATTCAGAAGAAATGGGACAAGTACAAGGGGCTCTACAACAGGAAGTCAGACACACTTTTGGACTTGAGTAGCATAGTAAGGAAGAACGTGCATCCCTTATTGCACCCATTGCATGAGAAATTGTTGAAGGCAAAGTTGCCCACTCCAAATCCAAATATGATGGTGTGACGATTCTGAGATAATGCACCTCCTATTTTGAATAGACATGCAGCTACTGAAATTGGATTCCAGTGCACAGAGGAAGGCATCTGATAATCGGTATTTCCCTTCCAATATCTGTATTCAAATGGCAGGTTTCAGCCTGCAAACCAGACTCGTTTTCGTATTTTTAAGAAGAGAAAACATTCTACTCTGATGTGATTGCTCTGCAGACGTATTTTAGAGAATGAATGAAACCACATGTATTCAATGGTCCATGGACTACAATAGTCAGTGGCCTGCAGTGAATAATTTTAAAAAGGCAACACGAGACAGATTTCTCAGGGAAAGTGTGGTCAAGACAGGAATGTAAACAATGGTGAGACCCTGATGAGGGTGATTTCCATTGTGAAGGAAATCCTCACAGGCCAGGAGAAGCCACTTTCATTCAGGATAGAGGCAGTCGATTCAATGCATAAGTATGTACCATACATACACTCGGAGGCAATGCCATTGGACTGCTCCCACCAAACCGGCTCCTCTTTCATCCTCTTCTTCCAAACTCGTCAAGCTAAAAAAAATATGGTAACAATTCGCATTGGGGGTTGGAAACAAAAAAAGAAAGTCGCAGAGAAAGAATGCAAGAAGGAAGAAAGAAACAGAGTTTGATAGGAAGTCAAAAGAGACGCAAGTATGGGATGGCACTCTTGCAAGTGCAAACTCGTGGTGAAAGACTTTCAAGGTAGGGAGAAACACTCTAAATCACCGCACAGCCACCCTCTTCAGCAGCCTCACTCTTTGGCCATCTGGCAATTGTGCTATGGCATGATCGCATGGTCACGTTGCTGGATCATCACAAGTAATCACATGCACGGATACGCACGAATACCAAGAGACGTTCATCGAGTCGGGGCGGCCAAGTGCGCGCACCGCTCCACGTTCGCTGGCCAATCACAAACGTTCTCGCGCTCGTTGAACACGAGCCCCTGCGGACAAGGCATCCTATGTTTACGGTCTCCCTGACACAGGTAGTACTGATGACAGTCCTCCTTGTCCACGTGATAGGAAATGCCACCTTCATCCTCGTCGCACACCACTTCGTCGGCTGAAATCAAAAGTGGAATATGTCATGGGAGTGAAACCGTGTCAATCTCTCTAACATCGGAATATCTAATCTACCGATCGAGATCTCGTCGGCTCATACTTTCCTCCGAGTCTGGTGATTGAAAGATTATACAGACATAACAGAATAAACCGAAGACTTTAGTCAGTCTTCGGTCAATCAGTCCTTTTAGGAAAATTCCATCCTTTTCCGCCTCTTTTTTTCTCTTAATGCTTTACATGCTGCTGCATGTGGAGATTCAGAAAAAGATATTTCTTCTTGTACCAAATAAGTAGGGCGCATTAGAGATTCAGAATGACTAACACTCAATTTTCATGCATATTTTAATTGTCGTGTAGAATCAGATTCATCTACTGATTAAACCATTCCAACCGCCAGATCCATGCTTTCTCGGCATGACTCTCCCAAGTCTGGATAGATCTCCGATGGAGATAGACAGAATAAGATGTTCTTTACGGTTCGCGGCAGCAGCGTAGACATTGGGCCCGTCGTAAGGGCCTTCGTATTCCCGATGAACGGCGTATCCTTCGAGGGCACTCTTCAAGGCTTTGAGGAGGGGATATTTCCCCATGCCACAGTCTCCCTTAAAGTCATCCATATCAACCGACCACACCATGACTCCTCCAAAACCCAGGTCTCGCAACCACTCCATCTGCAGGGAATATTAAGTAACCCATGGAGAAATCGAGCAACCGATTGATTCCAATTTTCCAAGGAGGCCAAGATGAATACCTTTGTCTTGAGACTCCTCTCGTCGTCGAAGCCAACCCACTGATCTTCCCGATAGGCGAAAGGAACCTGCTGCTCGTTGTCCCAGACCAAAGTCACGTTGTCTCGATGCAGGAACTCACAGATCTAGCGCACAAACCAAAGATAAACAATTATTGAAAATAGTTTGACTAAGACGAACCAGATGGACTTTTCAAACTTTTTAAAATGGCACTCCCTCAAAGAATACGACTAGGAATGAGAATGACGGGGAAAAAAGTAAACCTCATAGTAGGAGAGGAATCCTGGTTCCCCGGTGAATTCACCAGGTTCCCCACCACCTGATGCTGGGGCACCGATGTCAAACTTGGATTCGTTTACTAGGGTGAAGGACCTCCCATAAGTCGGCATTCCGATGAGGAGCTTTTCCTTCGGGGCACCTCTCTTCACCCACTCTCGGGCACTGTAATCCTGGAAAGACGTGAAGAAATTGATTCCGGAACGTCCAACTGCATCTCATCAGACTATACGATAAGAAGACTTACTACGGTCAACTTCTTCTGATAACTGGAAGCGCTTTCCAGGGGGAAGAGGGGGGAGTTGTGTCCAACCTGTCTCTCCCATTGTCCGTGGAAGTCGTACGTCATCACGTTGACGAAGTCCAGGTACTTTGAGATCTCGGGGACGTCGTAACTATTGCGGACAAGAGGTATTTTTGAGAAGGTGAAAATTCCGGGACTGGAGACGGGCGACAGCAAACGATCGCTTACCCGGCAGCAACTGCTTCGAAGGAAGCGGGGACGGCTGCAGAGAGGATGAGGCGAGGTAGTTTCGCCGTCTTGGCTTCTCCCTCAAATGCACTTCGCAGTTCCTTCAACAGCCTCACGTAATTCTCCTTATCTTCCTCCCCTCTGAATCGATCCACAAGAACCGATTAAATACATGTGCATTTTACAATATATATCAGACACAAGGCAGATGAGTGTGCGCTCCGGACTCACCTGGGATACTCCCAGTCCACATCCAGTCCGTCGAACTTATACTCTCGCAAAAATTCCAAGGCGTGATAAACGAAGCTATTCATCCGATAGGCGTTTTCGGTGAGCTCCTTGAAGGGCTTGGATCCAAAAGACCAGCCACCGATAGCCAGTAGAACCTGAGAATGAAACCGAAACAGAATATAGGTGAGGAAAAGAAAGCAGTAGAAGCGGATAGCGATTGGAAGAAACGGACCTTCAGCCTCGGGTTGGCCTCCCTCAGAGCCTGGACTCTGCTATAGAGGTCCATCTCCTCTGATTCCTTGTCTTCGTCGCCTCCAGGAGTGAGGAGGTAATTTTTATCCAGGGCCGCAAAAGCATACACGACGTGGGTGCAGAGGTGAGGGTCCAGATATTCCGGCTTAAACTTTCCGCGGCCAGGCCTCTTCACAGACCAGTTCGTGAAATAGCACAGAACGGTTGGGTCGGTTGCTGTAAACGGAACCGAGAATGCAAGCATACAAACCACCCACACTATCAAAGAATGATGGATTGATGAAAACACACCACTGGAATCAGAGGCGAGTACTTTGGACCCCTGGACGAGTGTGGTAGGTAAGTCGTCTTTCCTCTTCAGGGATTGCAGGAGTTCTTCGACAGAGATACGAACCGGAGGGGGAAGGGTAGTCCCTCCAGCCACCTCACTAAACTTGCTCACCTTGCTCCAGTCCACATCTTTGAATCCTGGATCTCTCTTCACTCCGAACAGTTCCTCTCTGAAACACGATATCACGATGAAAATGATGACATCGATGGACAAGAGGGAGAGGCCATGCAATACCTCATGGCGGTCATTAGGGGATATTTCCCTCCACCCCCACAGACTCCCCCAGTGAAGTCATCCATATCGATGCTCCAGACCATTGCACCAGCATAGCCTTCTTTTTTCAACCACTTGATCTTGTTCCTGAGAGACCTTTCATCGTCGAATCCGACCCATTGATCCCCATCCACGACGTAAGGCACCTCCATCTCTGGATCCCAGATGTATTTCGCTCCTCCTCGAAGCATCTCACAGATCTGGGGGGAGGGATCACATTCATCCTCAATAATTCAAAATACCTGCGTCCAAATACCTCGTCAGTAAGAGTCAAACCTCATAGTAGGCGAGGAATCCACTCTCCTTGGTGTAAGTACCCGCCTTGCCCCCTCCGGAAGCCGGTGCATTGACTTGATAATTCTTGGGATTGGACAGAGTGAAAGTGCGTCCATACGTGGGCATGCCAATGACGAGTTTGTCCTTCGGTGCACCTTTCCGCACCCACATCTCAGCGGCATTGGAGACAGAGAGCTGTTTCCTCCATTCACTGTCGCTGGATGGGGCGAAGAGGGGTGCATTGTGCCCGGCTTGCTTCTCCCATTTGCCGTGGAAGTCGTAGGCCATGAGGTTGATGAAGTCGAGATAACTAGCGACGGCAGGAACGTCGTAGCCCGAGTTGACGTTATCCGGTCCAACGGGAACGGCTGCTGTGAGCAACAGTCGCGGCTTCTTCACCTCCTGAGACTCCGCATCGAACGCCTCTCGCAGTTCTGTACAACCAAAACATTCATATTACCCCTTCCCGCGCATCTCATATCAATGGCTCTCTCTAACCAACACGACGAAACCCTCCCTCCTCATCCCAACTTCAGCTCTCGAATTTTTTTCGATCTCTCTACACGATAAACTTATATAGTCACTGGATTCTTCTATAAATGAAGTGCGGCGAGGGTTTTTCTCAGAGCAAAAAGTTTCGCCATCAAGCGCCGCTGAGTGAAGGGGAGGAAGCAAGAGGACACGGAACTCCAAAATCCTGCCTCCCTGCTCAGAGGCCTACCGTGCACCAGCCACTTTGCAACAAATGTTGTTTTTGGCACGAACTTTACCAAAAATTTATTAATCCCGAATTTGGACTATGTTGAACAAAAAATGTTCGCAGTAACAAAGGATAATTTTTGAGTCGCCGTCAGAAGACGAATAAGAAAGGAGAGTGAAACGCGCAGACACGCATAATGGGACAGTAAGCGACCGGCTTCTTCACACAGAAGGAATACCCATTACGCAAACTATTTCGGGCAAAGTGAAAATGAAAATCTTTATCACCCTTGTAGATTGACACTTTCACCATTGGCAGCGTCTCGCACCTATTCCTATCTCATTTGTTTCATTCGAAAACCAATCATCTCCCAGTGGGAGAGTGAAAGGGAAAAAGATCCTACCCGGCAGCCAGTTAGAATTCCTTTTCCTGTCTTTTATTAAACTCGCGGCACTCCTGGCAGCGACTTTCAATTTGAATCACTTTTCTGTCTTCGACCTCAATGTGCCGAATATCTCGCTGCGTAGTCATTAAATTTGGAAAAAGAAACCTGAGGCATGCCCGAAGACTTCATGCGTCATCCCGCTCGTTCTCATTTGCGAACATGGCAGTGTCATGGCATTTCCCCACCAGAGACACCTAAGGCACCGAACGGACAGAAATTCAGTCCCCCTCCTCCATCAGCTGGTTTTTCACGCCTAATTCTCAACGGGCCACTAATGCCATGGCGGAAAATCTCACCCGTCCTAACCAGTTGCTGAAGAAACTTTTCTCCCTCCGCTTCGTGGAGCTCATTACGCATTGGGCAGTCTGGGGCAACAGCTGCAATCAGCCACTAAAATTTGGCAGTCGTTAAGAGTCAGTTTTCGGAAAATTACTTCCAGTGAACCATTATATATAGAATAAATATAATGCCAAAGAAGGCGATCACGACAAAGCTGTCGAATTATAATGTTCCTCTCCTTCTGACAGGAAGGACGAGGACGGGCCATCATGCCTACGATACAACTACAACCAAGAAAAACTTCGTATTAGAGCATCAAGTTTCAAGAAGTATAAGAAGTAGCTGGCATAGGAAGTGAAAATAGTCATGAAAGCACAGTGCTGGGAACAGCCTGTAATGGCCTTAGGGGTTTGACGTGTCCTTGGATTCTTTTGCACTGTCCCCGATATGGAAGGAACGCGATGGTTATATTTCTTTTTATTTCTGTTGAAAGAAACGACTGCAAAGGCCATTGGAGCGGAACAATAAGGCCAGGGATTGCCGGAATCGCGTCCACGCCCACGTGGACTACATCATCGGGCTCCCTCCGATTTCGCGACTTTTATCTCTAACGGAAGGAAAGGCCATACCCTTGAGGAGTAGAACGTAGTTCTTCTTGTCGTCGGCTCCCTTTGGATATTCCCAGTCGATGTCGAGGCCGTCGAAGCCCCGATCCCTCAAGAAGGGGATGGCGGAAAAGATGAAAGTCTGGCGACTGTACCTCGTCTCTGACATGTCTTGGAATTTCTTCGTCCCGAACGACCACCCACCTGCGAGACACAAACAATCAGCCCCCATGCTGCCATTCCATCTCCACCAATCGCACAAGGTTCGTGTCGCAAATCTACCTTTCTCTCAGAGGACATATTATCACCAAATATTTACAAGATGATTTACAAGATTCTTTTTAATATCTGCATCCAATCGATGAAGAGGTCATATATACTAATTCGGCATCCCCTCTTTTACCATGTTCATATGATGGATGACAAGGTAATATAAAAAGATTAATCTTCAGTTTCAAGGCAAACGAGTCCTTGGGTGTGACTTTTTTCCCAGTCGTTTTATTGAACATTGTATCGCAAGCGTCTATGGAATCCAGAGAACTGTCTCACGAATCCTGACCGAGGTCGGACTTCCGTGAATATTCACCTCGCAAAGGAGAACAACAACTTGAATACTACAAGTTCAACAGAACAGGAAGAGAAATTCTCCATATTGGATGGATCATACTCGTGGGATAAATGCTATACTTTACGGTCATGCCAAAGACGATGAATTTGACAATCAGACGAAAAATTCGTCATATCCGGGAACGTCTTTATCGGACATCGAGTTACATTTCTGTCGTGTACCCCACTTCAGCCCAAATTTTAATAAAGCGTAGTCCCACAAAAAGGCGACCACTTTTCACAGGATACTTTGAGGTGAAGGGAGAAAGAGAGGCACGGTAATTTCCGAAAACGGGGACAAGTGGACGTTTTCTTGCAATTAGGAAGAGGATACGCGAATGCAGTGATGCATGGAACAGCCACGGAAGCCAGGGCAATAGAGCGTTGAATCTTTGTAATCACGGAACGATTCACGTAACCCATGATAACTGAACCGCATCTCCAACACGATTCCTCCCAGAATCACTCAGGATGTGATGGGAGACTCCGTCACAATGACTAGGACTGACGCACGAACTAGGTCTAATATAAAAAAAAAAGAGGGGGGGGATGATATTACGATGTTTTGGTATTACGCCTGAGATAAGGAATCACATCCAATCAAAAGGGCATTGTTTTACATGACACAATGTTTCCACAGCCTAATTTTCAGGGTGACTGCTGTGAAAAGTAAAACACAAATTTTTAATTTCCCAAGTCTTTCTTGATTACGAAAATTTTAGTGATGGCCTCTCAAACATGATATATTTTCGCCATGTTGGATGATTATCGATGAGTAAGCCCTTCCACATTCTTCCAGGATGCCAGGATACGCCTGCACTAAGCTCTCAGCGATCGAGATTGATTCACCTGATAATCCCGCCACTTCAGTGGTACTGACATGCAGGAGGTCGAAAAAAAAAAGGACCCACCGATGGCGAGGAGGATCTTGAGTTTGGAATTCTTTTCCTTCATGGCTACGACCCTCTCGAAAAGTCCTTTCTTCCCATCCTCGCTGTCATCGTTGCTTTCGAAGGCGGCCAGTTTGCCCTTCTTCAGCCAGCCGAAGGCGAAGATGACGTGAGTGCACAGTTCAGGGTCGACATCTTCCGGCAAGAACTTACCCAGCTTCTGCCGGTATTGGGACCAGTTCGTGTAATAGCAAACATATTTCATGTCTCCATCGGGAGACGACGACGACCGCTTGTCGGAGGAGACAGCCGTCGCTTTGGACGAGGTCGCAACGGCGGGTCGTCGTCGCGCGAAGAGAGGACGACGTGCCCGTTCCACGATGGAATTGGAGGAAGTCCGCTGCGGTCGCACTATACTCTCGGCTGGCGTTGGAACCACATCCTCATCTCCTGATTGTCCCCGCTGATTATTCGTTGACAGTTTTACCCTATTACGCCGCCTCTCCAGAATATTTTTTATATCTGTCCGGGAAAAAAGGAGAACAATTCTTTAGCAGCTAAATAGTGGAAATCACTAATGCAAATCACGTTCGTTAAGTTATCGTAAAAAGCCGAAGTTTAACACTTTCAGCCCCACACCCATCATATGATGTCCTATACCCATAGGGCGCTCAAATCACCGGGGTCAAAGGGGTTAAAGCAGTGAAAGTGTTAAAGTAGTATTCCCGCAAACGCTGAAGACAGGTTCGTGCTGATGCATACACTTATCCATCTTAAGCGTGCGTGTAAGAAGGCACCGGTCGGGATAATTGGATATTTTCTGGAACACTGCTACTCTAGCTTAGCTTGAGTAGCAGTGTCACTGCTACTCTAGCTTAGCTTGATAGCAGTGTCATATGCTGCTATATGAATGGAGTCGATGGAGACCTGACTGTGGTGTATTCAACGATTCCAGGAATTCCTGCGCTAAGCTCTCGAATATTACAGATGATAATCCTTCAATCCAATCCTTCCGACGAAGATGGGAAGAACGCAAGCTTCCGGTCTAACTGTTCGCTAGAGAGGGGTGGGGCCGAGGGATACGGGGTATCTTCACCTCAGCTTCATCGTTTTTCTTTTCAAACCTATTAAATCTGAAACCTCGACGAGTCCTATGTCGACCGGGTCGCGCTCTGACCCAAATAACCTTCGGTCGGGAGGGGCGACGAAAATTCGTGCGCATGTAGATCTAGCACGCGCTCACGCACGCGCGTGACACACAAACAGACGCACAGACCCGGGAGATTGCTCGAGTCTTACTTCCCTCTCAAAGAAAGGAGGTTTTCTAACAGGTAGCAAACGATATCTGTGCTTCCTGTTAGATTCCATGTTGCCTCCATTTCATTAGTCAGCTGTGTAGACCAGTGGTGCACAACCTTTTCCCCTTAGAGGGCCAAATTGAGACTTCGTCTCATGTTCGAGGGCCTGCCCTCGAACATGAGCCGAAATCGGTCGCATATTAATATGGATCTTTAGAGACCGGAGGCATCAAAGGGGCCACAAAAAAGGTATCCGCGGGCCGCATGTGGCCCGCGGGTTGTGCATCACTGGTCAAGACAATACTTGGCAAATGTCCCGTATCATCTGCCAGAAGACATCTTATACATTGTAGAGCTTATAAAAAGAACGCGGTGTAACTTGTAAGCAATTTCGGAGAAACTTCTGTCAGTAACTAATGACCTCTCTTGATCTCTCTTTGATGCTTTCTTGATGTGCGATTCACGAGGACAGGTACATTTATCTAATGAAAGTATCTAATTGCAATCCATCACTCATACCTCACTCGAAATAAGAGGGTGTGTAGCCCGGCCAAGGACGAATTTTATTAGAATACAGGAGGCGCTATATGGACGGACTTAGTTATTTTGCTTTCGACTTGGACTCGCTTTTTTCAGGGGAAAGCTTTTTTGTCGATGCTGTGCAGAGCTTGGAGAAATAAATCATTAAGAAAATTGAGCGATGGAGAGGTAGCGGACGGGACGACCCCTCCCATCTTTCCTCGATCGCCCCATCGAAAATCCTACACGAGTCGTCATCGTCGTGATCGGAGCGCGGAACTTCGAGAATTGAACAAGGAAAGCGAGGGAAATATCCACTCAAGCTCTGGGAGAGCGCTGTGTTATTGGAATGGTATATAACAGACATTTCATGACGTGTTTTGAATTGCAATGTAACGTTTCGCAAAACGATACAAAAGGACAGTCGAAGAGGAATTTTTACCACCCTGAAGGATGGGAAAAAATCCGGAGTGAGGACGTTAGGAGCATGGAAAGTAACTCTCATGGGAGTATATACGAAAGTAGGTGAGGGGGCGGATAATGAGGAGTTTGTGTTGGACCATGTGGCTAAGCCTGGTTGTCACGAGAAAGGCATCATGGGAGGGAGAGAGCACTCACTCTCGCTTTCATTTCTCCTCTCTCCCTCTCTTTCTAACGAGGACAAGAATCTCTACTATTTTTCTCTGGCCTTTAACATGCTTCATCAATCCTTGAGATGAATCTCACCTGAATCTGCGGCGATCGTCCACGCGGCCAGCAAAAACACGAAGCCCAAGATATGGCACCTCAACTCCTGCAGACAAATCATAAGATTAAATTCAAAAGATTATATAGATAGATAGATACACGATTGCTCTAAGGGACAAAGCCTTGCCATGAAGTTACATCTGGGTCTGTTACCTCTGCCTTCCGAGAAATAATTATTCCAAATGAGGTGGAAGGGCAGTGGCATGGTTCCCACCGGTTGGAGCTTCATCTAACTTCGAGTGAATGGCTTTCACCAACACGTTCCCCTTCTCACGTCGCGAAAAAAAAAAAACTATTACGGCCGGATGAAAGTACTAGTGAATGGTGGCCAAATACAGCCACGAAGGGCGGCGTGGAAAGGAGACGAGGCGTGAAACGCGGAATTGCAATGACGCATAATGATGGAGAACTCCTCCATCGTCATCTTTCGAAGGAGGCTCGGATCTCTTCATAAATCAGAGATTGATTGCAGGACGTGGCAGAGGAGACACGACGAATAATGTCACGGGATTGCGAAACCTCTCCCTTTCCTTCGCGGGAAGAGGATGGAAAACGGTTTATTGCCTCCTCTGGGAAGGTACGCATGTACGCAGAGGCAATTTTCTTTCTCTCCTCTCCCTGCAAATGCATTCATTCGGTCGACCGGCCTCGTCGGAATCGCGTCACGGAAGATGGCATTTTCCCGAAGTGCAGGTGCAAATGCAACTCTGTCGGAGTCGGAAGGAGGTGAGATTTCGCAAAGGGTGGTTTGCGAAAACGAGTCAATTATGGCTGGGATGAGAAGAATCGATGAATCTCTCTTACACCTTGGGCCATAGACTCGATTCAATGCGGCCCTCTACCTTCGAGAGAAACTGCCTTGCCCATAAATGTTTCACTCTCAGACAGAAGGCTTATCTCGATGGAAGTGGTGAAACAGGGTATAGGCGGCTCTAATGACCTGTACAAGTCTCCAAAAAGCATGCTTGTTTCCTAAGCTCAGCTGCCCATCCGAGAGAGAACGCCCTGTTACACTTCGCAGGAATACACGGACCGCCCGACCGAGGAGAAACTAGTCGCGGGCAATTAGTTGTACAAGATTTCCGGTGTAAATCGTTTCGTCGCGTTCGAATCTGCCTGGAGCTGTTACTTGCAACTCCACCCTGTCTACTGCACCGGCCCCTTTAAAATGCAACTCGTAAGCCGGATACGAGAGTTGGAAGCAATAGTTCATGAACGGAGTCGAACCTGCAACCAGTCATCAGCAACTATCTCTTCCTTTCAGTAACTGGAACGTCAGCCACGGATGGCTTCTCGGATTACTATTATTCCCCACATTCGCACTTGGCTACTTCTCACTTCACCAGTTTTCGCTCCAGCTGCAGCCAGCGCAGACAGGTTCTCTCTCAACGGGTTTCGATCCCTCTTACGTCGCTCCCCGTTAGTTAATTTTCAAGTATATCTCTGCTCTACTGGATATAAAAATGCTGATAAATGTTATTAGAGGACTGTAAGGATTCAGTATCATTTGTGGCAGAAAAGGTACGAAATACCATTTTCTCAAGCCTCAAGAAATTACGAGATGAAAGGTGCACACTTGGACAAGTACTGAGGGGGGGAAAAAAAACGAAAAATATCGCTGGCGCAGATACGTGCGCGAGAAAATGAGGCTAATAACTGAGCGGGTATTCTTCGATATCACTTTGGCCTGTTCCCGATCAACTGATCGCTGCGAACTTAGATGCATGCTCACGTTGCGTCGCAGAAGGAAAAGTCTGCGATCGTGGGGTCAAAGGATATGGTAAAAAGCCGCCATACAAATGAGCTGTAATCATGAAATCCTACAAATGCTAATCGTAGCGTGCTCAATCCATGGCGGATCTTTTCAAGAACCTTTGGGGACTATAAATCAGTATCATCATAAGAAAAGTAAGTATACTCGATTCAAAACGAATGAACATTCATGAATACTGTACAACACATATTTTGAATGCATGCATACACATAAAAGGCATGAAGTCGATTCACAAGTAACTGACAATGAATACCGAATAAAAGGCAGAAACAGCTTTCCGAAGTGCAAAACCGACGTGTTGGCGATAATGGATGCGAAGAGAAAAAGAGCAGAATGAAAAAGGAGTGGAAGCAGTGCGGCAGGCTGAAGAAAATCCGGCGGCATGGAAGGCATTAGGCCAGGCTTTTCATTCCCTCTGGGGGTGCCGATTTCCACTCTTAACATATCTTAACACAGAGACTAAGGTTTCTGATGCTAAAGAGCGATCAGATGGAATCGCCCATATAGGTGGTTTCGCAGATGGCAAGAAAACGGTACGGGATGGAGGGCAGTGGAAGCAGGTGAGGATGGATGGGGGCACGTTCAAGTGACGGATGGGCGACCGCAGTCCACTATCAAGCGGGACAACCGCACGAATTTGTATCCTACCCATCAAACTTTAAAAAACCATTATAGTCTCCATAACAGCCTACCTTGCAATATAAACTACCAGAAAAGAAATCACACATCGTCACATGTCCCATTCACGTGCACATGAATAAACAAATTCCGAACTCGATAAACCGACTACTCAAAATTCATCTAGTCTTATTCGTTATGGTCCAGTACTTGGAGATCTAGAAGCATACGATTGAGGTTTGGTTCATTTTTTTCTGGCGAACGACACACTGACCTAAAGCAAGACCTATTGGACCAATTTCAAGAAATGTAGTCCTATTGAACGCGCCTTATTCCACAGGAGTCTTATCTGAGTCGCAAGCACTCCTTGTGAACACACAGACCTAGAGTGAAATTGCGTGACTGATTTCGACATACGAAACCTCGGGCTTCGTCCGGCTCTCGCAGAATGCCTTTTGGCATTTTGGTCTCAAGTAACAATCTGGCGATGAAAGTACTATGGAGTACTTGATATAATTTTTTGGATAAGCATAAACTACAGGAACACTTAGCCCTCTTGTCTTGTCTCCCAATGTACCTTAATGCATCCTCCTCTTCGACCTATTTTCGAAACAACTACGAAGTGAACATTAAAACTTCGAATTCGGGTCATGGCAATACCCAGCTTTTAGAAAAATCCTCAAGGAATGGATAGTAGTGATCACAATGGTATCAAGTGATAAATTGAAGGCTATTTTGGAGAATAGGAGTTCCACCATTGGATTGGCTCAGCTTGTTCCTCGTCTCAGTTCCTTCGGACTGACACGCAGAATCAATTGCACATGTAGTACATTGCATTTCTTTTTCAGAGCCAGAGTGGACTAAGTTTCACATCCCTCAATGAGAGTTTTGGGGCCAATTATTCCTGTAGTCGAGTCCTTTCGTTTCTTCGTATTTTCGCATACTTTACATCAAATGAAGCAGAGTAAAGTAACTTTGCAAGGATCCACCTCCCCTGTCGAATTTCCCTCGATATAGCCCTAATAAAAAAAGGGATACGTATGCGAAGGCTACTCACCACTTTCCAAATGTTGATAATAGGATTTGACTGAAAAGAGATGGGGTTTAAGCAGCAATTATCTTGCCGCGTGGAGGCATTAAAAACATGAAAATGTTACTGGTCAATACGTCTGTCACAGATACGCTGGTTCTGCAAGCAACATTCGCTTGGATTTAATAACTTAATGTTCTTACATCTTTGAACAGGTCTAATATTAGAATGAGAAAAACTTTGACACCTTCTAGCCCATATCCTAAAGCAAGCCATGAAAGAAAATGAATGAGGCTTCCAGTTTCGAAGGGACCGCAGGGGATGCATCGATTAACAACTCTGCCTGATGTGGGCGATCTACTGTGCAACAGTATAACATCGCATTTGTGGTGGTGATCCCTGTACTTGCAAGTAACCGGAAGAAGTTGGCTTAGAAGGCTTCTGCCAACACCGATTCCAGGAGTAATTCTCCAGCCAGTCAGACAGACGAGACTGATGCACAAAGCCCAGAGGAAAGGGAGAGGAATATTGAGCTTATACATCAATATGAATGGATTGTACGTAAGGGAGAAGGGAGAAAGTGCATGGAAGAGGATGGGGTTTAAGGAAGATGGGCTATTCTATCTATGCCGGTACAAGCAGGAGGACTTTCACTATGTCCACGTCCACTTGAACGTATAAAAGAAACAAGTCCTTCCCTCTCTCTTCGGTCTGGGTACAACGACCTTTCTCTGCGTAGCAATGGTATGGACTATAGACGGCATGATTCCTGAATTTACCAGGTCTGTGTCAATTCATCTAGAGTCATAAATCATCATGACTTGGGCGTTCCTCTCCCTCCCTCTAGTTACGTCACAGGTTGTGCCAACAACACAAATAAAGCAATACTATCAGGCACCGAGGTGAATTCGTTGAACCTGGAACAGGAACAGGAAGGAATCTGTTTTTACATGCCTTCATCTGCTTGTTATTTTTCCACGAGACCTTCCCAGGCCGGGGTCCCGAGAAAGGTGGTCAGGAAATTCCAGGGAAGGGCTTGCAGGGCAATATGCCCTGCAGGGAAGGTGGGGCCATCAAGGTCACTAGCTAGCCGGAGCACCGCACTGGGACTACAACTAGGCTACCTTTCAATCCCACATACACACGGATTCTATGACGTGATTGCCCCGGGATCCCTTCACATCCAAGACAAGGGATTCGTGACCTGACACAAGAGATTTTATCCCTTGAAATAATTAACAAATGCGCCCATTATTGGGTCATACCAAATGGAGGTCGGCAATTTTTTATCGGCCTACAACGCAAGCTATGTTGTGAATTCTTGAAATAGCACCGCAGCGGTTTCCAACCTTCATGGCCAAGAAAGCTCTCAAGGACCCTCCCTATTAAGGTTTGTCCTAATACACAATCAGGATACGAATTCCTCACGGTTCCACTTCCTCCACCCTTTCAATGGCTCCGGGCTAAAATATGAGAACAAAAAACAGAAGAAAATGAGAGAGAAAGCTTGCCGGAAGCCGTCTCTCTCTTTTTATGAAACGGTCAATTATAGGGAAAGAAATGCCACCTCATACTTCTGGAGAGTTCGTGAGAAAGTGAGAAAGAAATCTATCTTTTCCCACTCCCCCCCCCCCCTTTTCTTCCTGAAGTGAATTTTGTTTTCATCCCTGGAGGGGGAAAAAGATGGGCCCCGAGGATGGGAGGAAAATGTGGCATAGCCAGAAGGTTAGTAGGGCAGAGGAAGCGAACTCCACTTTGCCTTTCCCTTCTTCCCTTCCATTCACTTCCTTATGGCCGGCCGTCTTCCCCCTTCAACATCACGACAGCCTCTTCCGCTTTCGATCCTCCACTTGATCTTATCCTGAGTGAACTGGTTGGAAGGTAGGAGGATCAAATTAACCGGGAAAAGTTATTGCATATTCCACGCATGGTTCGGTAACTGACGTAGGAAGTCATTGCAGGTTCCCATTGTGCGACACTCAATTGTTTGTAGGAAAAGTTTTTCGTCTCCCCATTGAAGGGTGGTTTCCCCGCAGGGCAGAGACAGGGGGGAAAGAAGACAAAAGGGATATTGCATCACATCCCCACCTCCATGCCTTACTTTTCCTCGTTCCCATTATAAGAACCCCTTCTGAACGAACATTATCAGCATCGTACAATTCTTTGATGTTCAGAGGAACCGTTTGCCGACGTATATGGGAATAAACCATGAGGGGCTGCAACAAGGAAAAAAGGCCCCGAAGGGAAGAATAGATGGGGGCTGACCCAGTCTTTGCTACTAACCCACTGGCTCGCTTTAGCATGCAAGCGTAAAAAAAAAAAAAAGACTGGATGGATTCATGCATGCATGGCTTCCTTCACTGACGAAATCCTCCTCTTGTCTTCCCGATGGATATCTACGGTTATTTTTTGGGGGTCGTCCTTGTTTCCATGCAGGGGATCTGACGTCTCTTTGTCCGTGTCAACAACAGGAGTCTTGTGTTTCTACTGTAATGATCCCAGCGTTGAAGTCTCCTCCCTTAGACGGGCCGGGAACCTCACGAATATTCTACACCCTTCCCGTTGATGAATAGGAACCCCTCTGTTCAGGATGCCATATCGAAATATTACGGAATGTCGTCCGTAAATTCATGTACCTTCTGCGGCCTCTTATAGACTTATCGCATAGAACTAGAACGAAGAAAAGACTGACCATTGGGAGACGGAATCCGTGAACCGTGGAGGTTGATGTCCACACGGACCTGAAGATCAATCCAAGTAGATGTTTCTTTGTCACAGACGTGATACCTGACAGAAAACAGCCGCACAGATAATTTAACACTGAGTGGTGATTAAAACGAAATGAAAGAAAAAACCAGTGAGAACACTGGAACGCAAGAGAAAGGAAGGAGGAGGAGCAGCACGAGCACCAAGGACGACGGACACTCGCAGACTGACTTCTCCACGAGCGTTCTGGCTAACATATATAGGTTCCGGCCCCCGAACCGCGACGGCGCCAAACTGCACGGCAAGGATCATAGGGTGCCTTCAAAGCGCGCCACCCTTAACCAGACAAACCCACACAATGGGGTGGCTTCGCTCCCAGGGCCCAGATCTGATTCCTATCGTTGATGCAACGTGCAAAGGCCCATATAGTTACTGAAAAAGGAGACACGTCGTACGGGTTTACACGATTGGGAAATGGATAATTAATTATTCAGAATGTAATGAGGGCGGGTTTCGTTCAACACCGCATGTAAGGTGATCCCGAACGAGCATGGGTAAGAGAGAGGAGTTTTGAATAGAAAGTCGTCGTAGCGGTTGGCATGGTAGGAATGAGGACCAGTTCCATGCTGCCGAAAGCAAGAGAGCTCACTCCGCCTTCTTTACAAATCATTCTCTATGGCACTGCCGTAATATTGTTGAGTGCTACAGTATTACTAATGCTATAGTATTGCTGTGTTCGAAGCATTGGAGGTGCTGAGTGGCGTAAAAAACCATTCACGAGGAAACATTTTCTCCTTTTGTGCGCACAGGTAACTTATTTTGACGGAGATACCATGAAGGCACCGTGAAAGTGTAGTAAGTAGTCACCAACTGGTTCGTCTCGAATCAAATCGTTTCCAATTGTTGTACTGGAGAAAACGTGAAGAAAAAAGAACTGCTTATAAAATCGATTCTATGGAAAACCTCTCTGCCGGGTAGAACGATTGCCAGGCGATGCTGAACGATGGCTCTTCCACCCGGAATGGTCGGTCGCAAGGTTCTGTCATGCATACAGTACAGAAGGAAGCTTGGAATTGGGCATGAACCATAAGAGGAGGAAGAGGAGGAAAGGGGGAAAAGGACGTCACCCTCCACATCTCATCAATATCATTTTTCATTCCTCGCTTTCTCCGCTTCCCGCATTCCAGGAATCAAATCCCCCTTGCTATTCTTGGAAACAGATTATCGCCGAGACGATGGAGAAAGAGAGGAAAAGAGATGATCTTTGACAGCTGGCTTAAGCCAATCCCAACTCTCCTGCACTACCCCTTCTCCCACTATCTGTAATGAGTCCTTCGGCAGGGGGCAAAAAGCCCCAGCAAAGAGCTGGAATACAGCCCAAATATAGATTCATCTGAACTCGTCATGTCTAAAAATAGGGTCCCAATTTATTTTTAAAATTGCAAGGTATCTCCATTCGATGTCGCGTGAGGCCCATGTTTTTTGGCCTGGCAACTCAAACGAATAAGGTAGATTTATGCAATGTTTAAGGGGAAAAGTTACTCGTTCCATCAAATGTTTTCAAAGTTGAATTATCGAAAATCACAGTGAAGGAACAATCTGCGCGCTGCTCCTCGTCGAGCATGTCAAATTGGCAAGCTCTGACAAGACTGCTTGCAGGCGGCGGGCAGTGTCAGCGAAGTGAACTTCTTTAACTCCTCTTGTCACCTTTTATTATGTCTACATGTGTTCTGGTTGAATATTTAATAATTGATTAAGTATTGAAAAAATATATTTAATATAATAAATAATTTATTAAAAAGGAAAATAAAAAAATACAAATATGCATGCATTAAAAGAAACCTGGGATCCTTTTTCTAGCGTAGACTAGACAGTGAGAGCATGACCTCTCCTGTTTCGCCTTTCGCTTTTCGTCTTACAGAGGTGAGCAGATGCTGGATAGGAGAGAATTCATATGCGAATGAGGGTATTAATGCACGTGGTAGCGTCTATTCCCTTTCTTCAACCTGAGTCCAAAATCCGCTTTCTTGTAGTCTTCTCTGAGAGCATTAGGGGGAAGGAAATTGCGCACGCTCTGTGCTTCTTGACACAGAATCGTTCTTAAAAAAAGGTTGAAGTTCTTCCTCCCCAAGGGCATGGAGAAAACAGGATCTCATTTTTAGAAAATGTGCCATTCGGTATTCCCTGCCCGAGAAGCCATTATCTGACGAGAGATTTTCCACTATAGAAAGTCATGGTTGAAGTGAGAGACACTTTTGCGCTGTTGGCGATGCACCATTTCCCGGTGAAATATGAATTAAGCTGTTAAGCGTTACGGATTTTCGTGCGGTCTTCAGTCTTCATTACCACGGTTGCCAGATATAATACTGAAGTTTAATCGGATCGGTGAGTGGTGCTGCTTTCACATCGTGCCCGATTCTTTCCTTCACAATGCACGATATGTTATCGTGCTGCATTAATGGGATATGTGAGACCGAGACAATGGCTAGCGGTAGGAAATCGCTGTGGCCCATTTTGGGCGTACCGTCGATGAACATCATTGGTTGGTGGCGTCCGATGTGGGATTGAACTTAGAAGGCAGTGAAAAAAATCCGTCCACACACGTCCTAATCGAAATCGTTCGAGAAACCCGTGTTAGTCGCCCTTACTCGTCCATAACTTGAGGGTTGTGACTCTTTTGGCAGGAAAAGGGTAGGTGTGGACCTCACCTAAAGACAGGATTCATCGAAGACATAGAGACAATTCATCACATTCCTCTAATGGGGAGGGGGGGGGGGGGGGGGGGGGTGATGAGCAAAAGCCTTTGAAATATGACTGCATGATACCATTTACCACCCCGAAAATAGGGGCGCCTATGATGTAGACCCGACAGGCATCCATCTTTTTGGTCTTCCTCCTTTCCTCTGCGAAGGTGAACAACGGAGGACGCAGACGAAGACGCTGCACCATTCGTGGGTCTCCTTTCGTAAATGACGGCTACGAACAAACGAAAGGGTCCGCACGATAACGGCCGGGAAAGATTCCAGCGATCGATAGTGATGATAGTGATTTGAAATGGGCCAGTCGTGAATCCTTGGCATTTCTCACGTACGACCGTTTCCTCGAGAACCTAGATGCAAATCCCGAACGACCAGGACTGCCTATTTGGTGAATTCCTCACGAAATCTGGTGGACTTTTTTTGCGATCGCTGGAGAAAGTTCACGGATGATTGCCGGTCTGATCTCAAGACTCTTTTTTAAACGTTACACGAGAGGCCGTTTTCGCCCCCGGGTAAGGAGGAGATTGCATCTCGTGAGAGACTCGAGAAATGGAGACAGGAGAAGAAAGAGACGACCATGAGATGAACCACACCGGGCTCTCCGGAAACTGCTGCACGCACATGCTTTCATTCTCGCTTCAACCTCTATTATGGCTTTAGCACGAGATACTTTCGTACGAAACTCTTTTTTTGTTGTCCGTATCCGATCTAAGAGTCAGATTCATGCGGAAATTATCATTATTGTTATCGCAATGACTATCGGAATGAGAATTCCTTACCCATAAATCTGTAAGAACGCGGAGCGGGTGGTCCACGTTGAAATTGCTATCGCAGCATTCGCCCGATAGCGTTCCTTCCGTTCTCTCCTCCGGGGGGTTCTCACAGAAGCAGGTACTTTCCTTGGGGTATAGGGTCTAATGCATTCATTTCTCCACCCGAGACGGTGCCACGAGCATCGTCTGAAAACAGCAAGTTTTCACGGATGGATTCATTATACTGGACCGGGCGGCGTTTTTCCTCGAATTGTCTCTCTATCATCGCTCCTTCGCGTCCCCAAGGAAGGGTGATGCGTGAAAAAACGACGAAGAGGATGAGTGGAACCTGGCTCCGTATGCTTGAGGGATACCGCAACGAGGTGCTGTGGAGGGAACGACAGAGAGAGAGTAGGCCTATGCTTTTCGCTCAATCCCACGAACAAATACGAGCTCGTAGTTCTAGAGTTCCACTTTCCATTATTTCTCTTTTAATTTGTGGATTTTGGCACGAAAATGTCATCGACATGGAATCGATTTGACGAGTGGCAGTACGAACGTTATCCATTCAACACCACGAAAATTCTTCCGTGATGATATGCTCATGCGACTTGGTCTTGCATAAAGGGTCCATCGAAGCCGCGATAGCGTCTCTTACGCTGACAGGATCTACAAGTTGAGAATACTCTCGCGTGATAGCCATCTTAATCGTTTCCGTCTATGCCGCATTTCCATGCTCAACTTCTCGGAGACATTAACCATTAACCATTGTACACTACTAAGTGGAACTCTTTTTCTTCCGGATCAGTCTTGGCTTACCACGACGTCAATTTGCACGACTGAGCTCTCAGCCTCCGAGATAATTTGGAATATCGATCCATGGAGAAGGGCGAAAGGAATCTTCCCACTTCGGCTTCGGGAGGGGGCGAGAAGAGAAAGGGGCTTCGGTGTATCCACACTCGAAAAAGATCTTCATTTAGATAGTCAGAGTACCTGTACTCGATAAAAAAAAAAGGTTCTCGTGCTGTCATGGGGGAGTTCGATGATTTATGGTGCGATTTCATGGAGTTCGGTGAGATTTAGTTGGAAACGTTGCGTAAAAGACCGAAGTGACACCGGCGACACGAATGGCATGGTTCAAGCTTGCGTCTGTTGAAAGAGGAGATTCTCTCCAGTCTACCTTGTCGGGGGACATTAGCCGTTTCAGCTGCATGTATTTCACCTTTCCGCTCGTGTTTCCGTGGGAAAGTCCATACGTACTACAGCCACTTCGGATGACTTTCTCGGTTGTCTCACCTCACATACTTCACATAGTCAATACGTCTCTACGACGTGTTGCATAATAGTTGCCCCCTCCCTCCTCCCTCGTGGAGCCTACCACACATAACGTAGATCGACTTTGTAAATGTAAGAAAGGGCAATAAAAATGCAATATTTTGTACATTTTCAACTTTATTTAAAAAAAATGGCAGGGGTCTTAAATAACAGTGGACCACTACTTCTCAAACATCCAGCTATTACTGTGTCTTGGAAAAATGCTAAAGATGAGGGTGCAACATTCATCAGGAAAAAGTGGATTGCAATAAATATTGGACAGAGAAGAAAGTTGAGTGAAACGGAACTGGAACAAGACCTTAACTGATACTGATTCTCAGTTTGAAAGTTTTAGACACCGCAGGCCGGCCACACACGAGAAACCAATTTTGCTAAACTGGTTTCCCGAAACCAGTTTCACTATGGGTGACATGTACCATATCTGTTTAACTTAAAATAATCTGATCTCACAATGGTCCTCTATGGG